GTATGAATTAAAAATAGACTGACAATATTTTAGAAATCTCAAAAAATTTAAATAAAAATAAATTTTCTTCTCACATTTTACATTGTTCCCAACCTACCTTTGTGGTCACCTCTGATCGAAGCCGTACTAATATTTTTTGTTGCTAATACTTGTTGTTGCTAATACTTGTTGTTTCTAATACTTGTTGCTGCTATATATTGAAAGTAATGTTCCAGTTCCATTATAAAAATCAGAGTCAATATGCTATTACTTTCACATCGGCTTACAGGGTTGGGGGCTTTCAATTAATCAATTTGATTAAAAACACTTTATGATTCATTGCGAGTTAATATCTATTATTAATATATATTATTAACTTTACTATTTACACATTACTGCCGGTTTGTTTTACAATTGTCCCCTCTTTAAAACAAATACAACAATAACGACAACATCCAGCTATTTATCTTTCACTTCAACGATAGAGAGAGATTTATTTACCTAACGACAATAATTATTAAATATTTTTCCAGTCGCTGGTTTCGTTTCATTGCAAACTATTGTTAATTACAAAACGCTTGCGATTTGCTCTTCAAGGAAGTTTACAGTTATAATGCGGCCACCAATACCCCATTACTGACTACCGTGGAATGATCACGTAGCCAGTCAGCCAGCCAGCCAGCAAGAGCTTAGAGGTGGTGGTGGGCATAGACAGACATTACTTGTAAAGCTTATTCAATGTCTGCAAAACTTTGATGTCGTCGTCGTCGCCGTTCAATATCCCCACTCAGCTGATGGTCGGATCACCATTTTGTTTTGCCAATGTATTGGTAAAATTGCTTGTGTTATGTAACAAATTGCACACCAAAGTCCAAGCTATTTGCTTGATCCATAGTTGGCGTGGTGTGGTGTGTGCCGTTGTTCATTGCGGCCAAAAGTGGTATCTCTGGCTGTCTTGGTTTTCCATTTAACCAAACTGGTTTTTCTTGGTGCTGTTGCCGATTTTGACCGATTACTGGTATTATTATTTATATGATGATGCAGAAGGTTTTGCCGGCTGGTCCTGCTGTGGCTGTGACTGGTGTTGCCGTTGTCTGTTGGCGTGCCATGTTGCACCATTGCCTTAGTTTTTCAAATTTGTTACAACTTGCAGTCGGTTTGTGGTTTGCCTAGTTTCGATTTTATTTTCTTCTGATGCTATCGTTTGGTGGTGTGACTTTGATGTGGCAGCAAATTCACGTAATTGTTCATTGTTGTTGTTTTTATTGTGGTTTTTTGTTCAGCTATGTTGGTCTATCGGTTCGCATGCAAGTTGTTGTAATTGTTGTAAGTCTTGGCATGACTTACAATTTCCAGTAGTTTCGGCGACAAGTTACTTGCCAAATATGCGGAAATTTGTGTAAAGCGGGCCAAGAGGAAAACAACTACAGCAACGTCAACAACAAAAAATTACAACAATATTAACAATGATAGCGAATTCCAGGTCCAAATGTGTAAAAATGTACGAGGGAGATGTTATTAAGACTCTTGGAATAGCCATAAACATTCGAAGAGGGAAGTATACCTTGTCATAGAGAGAAGGACCAATTCCCAAGGAAGGGAATATTTTATCTCCTTTGAACTCAGACCATCTAAAGACTATGGAGAATATTTATAAGTCTTATTTGTAGAGCATTGCTGCATTTTATAGGGTATTCTATGCAACTAGGTATTCTATAGAGAGGCACTTCGTTGAAAATTCATTTTATTAGGCAGATATCTATATCTTCTATAGGGCAGACATCTACCCCTACCCAAAAGATGGCTTCTTTGAAAATCATCTCTAAATCTTTTATGTAGACTTCATCATGTACATGGAATAACATTAGATTTCTTGTGGATTTCTTTTCTATGGAAGGACCATTTAGTGAATACAGCTATGAATTTAAAAAATAAGACCAAATTATATTCTACGGAGGACTACAAAGTCTTTCATAGAAAATACTTCTATGTCTTCTGCAGAGAAGACCTTTAAGTCTTTCATGCGCCTCGGCGTAAAAACAAATATGTTTCTCATAGAGAAAATCACTAGAAGATCCATAGTGATAGAGATTAAATAGGAAAGACAACCAGGCATGCCTGCATGCCTCAAAGCTTACAATAGGGAAAATCTCTTACCTAATATTGCATAGAGAGGACCTCAGGTATTCTGCAAAAACCGCTCTAGGTCAATTTCTCGAAGCTTTCAATAAAAAATTCAGCAGAGAAAATCTTTAGGTCTCTAGTAGTTGTAGTTTTCTGTAAAGAAGATCTCTGTAAATTCCTTAAAAACAATTTTCAGGTTTTCCATAGAAGAAATCTTTAGGGCTTCATTTAAAAGACTCCTAGGTTTTTTAAAGTAAAATCCTCGAAGCTTTCAATACAAAGAGAATACTTGGGTACGTTTAGGACTTCCATAGAGAAGACGTCCACGTTTTCCATAGTGGAGACCTCTAAGTCTTTGTGCGAGAAGTGTGCCGATCTGCTATCATTTAAGAAAACGTGTTGAAGATAAATTCTGGTTTTCTTGGAAGAATACCTCAAAGGCTCTTTTAGAAAAGAGGCAGACCTAATTTCAGACCTTCTTCTATACGAGAGCAAAACTCCGATTTTTTTATAGAATAACACCTGTACGCCTTTTCTTCCATTAGGGAGGTACTTCGGTCTTGATTTGAATGGAAATATATTTTTCAGGACCTTTATTGGAACTAAATTGTTCTTCTCTTCTATGGGATATTTCCGTTCCCTTCTAGGAAAAACGCTCTGGGAATATTCTATAAAGTTCTCTTGGTCTCGTTTGGAAGAATACTTCTGGATTTTCTAAAGTAGGACGTCGAGACCGTATACCGATATCTTCTATTAAATGTATCAGCTGTAACACAAGGAAGAATTTTGGGCCATCTATAAAATGAGCTCCTGTGATATTTTATAAAAGGGTAGAGAGGGTCCTTTGGATAAGAATGCATACCTATCTTCAGAAGAAGAGTCCGCTAGTCTTTTCAAAAATAAGGCTTTGGATTTTTTTCAATCAGCTGTGAAAAATTCTTCTGGGTCTTCCACAAAAGAAGACTTTTGGGCATACAATTAAAGAAGAACTTGGATTTTTTCAAAATGTAGTGAGGATCTTCTTTCAAGTATGGGTTTGGAATCTTTTATAGAAGAGTCTACTGAAACTTCTTAAAATTAGTCCTGGGAATCTTTTGTAGAAGAGCTCTGGGACTTCTATAAAACGAGTTCCGACATGTCAATCTTTTGTAAAAGAGTCCTCAGGGTCTTCCTTAAGAGGAGGTCTCTAGTTCTACCTTAAAGTAGGTCTCTTGGCCTGTAGGAGGTTCTTCAGTGAACTTACGTCTTTCTATCTTTTGTAGAAGGTTCCTTGAGTCTTTTGAGAAGTAATTTCTTGGAATCCTTTAAAGAGGGTCTCTCATTATAGAAGGATTTTGTATTTTCTCTGGATATTTAAAAAAGCAGCTTTGTTTAGTTTTTTATAAGTATATTTTTTGTTACGGGTTTCGATAGAAAATGGGTTCTGGGACTATTTTGAAACTATGGTTCTGGGTATATAAAAGTAACTTAAATAGGGAATCGGTCTTGTAAATTTTTTTTATAAATTTAGCATTCTTTATATTTTAACATTGGGGTTCCTTCCCCCGCTGCATATCAATAACTGTTTACCTTTGGTTTTTTTTTTGATCTAAATAAGGCAACATAACCTTAAGTGACCATAGTTTTGTAACGCTAATGCAAAAACCCAAAATAAATTTCATAATAATGCAGTCAAATAACTACCTATCGACGTACCGAGCGAGCTTGCCGCTGCCGACAATAGCAAATTGCTAGCCGCCATGCCGCTGTACGCCACATGAATTCCAATGTGGTCAGACAACATTTGGTTTGGAGCCACCATTTGTGGGTTTGAGTTGGTTTAGTTTTTTGTGATGATGTGGGGTAGGTCCGTTACATTGAGCAGAGCAGAGCAAAACAAAAAACGTACTTTCACCTGTTTGATTGAAAAACACTTAGGAAGAGATGGGGTGAGTAATCAAATGGGAGAAAAAAAGGCAAATTTGGGTTATATGTATTTTCCATGCAAAACCGCATGTACATCTGGTAATTGCGCCTCGACGACGCTAAAAAATGATTATTCTGAGATTTAAAGAAAAACTTTTGAACGAAGTTACCCTTTGTAGAGCATTGAGAATAGGTAAATGTTGCTTGAATTCGCTCTGGGTTTTTCGCCTTAAAACCATTTTAAATTGCATGACTTTCAATCTGGCGTCTTTTGCCTTCCTCATGGAGGCCTGCAGATAGTTGGGTGTATGGAAACAACCTCCATATGGTATGAATGCAAGCAAACAGTTAAGCCGGCAGCGGCAGCAACACCAACCAAACTTGGCCAATATTTGGCGAAAAGAGAGTTAAGTAATCATTGCCAATAAATACATTTAGCTGGCCATCAGTAATTTTGTTTAATATTATTTTTGGTGCTTAGTGATTTTTTTGCTATACAAATATTTTCGAATTATTTTTTTTTTTTTTGGTGTGGTTGTTGTTTTTGGCCTGACAATATTTGTTTATGGTTTTTGAGCGGCCTTTAAGGTTTTTAGTCAGCCACCCAGCCAGCCACTCAACCATCCAATGCAACAACAACAACGCCTTGTTCACAAAACGTCATGCCGTTTGTCATCATCCTCTCTTATTTAGTTGTCGGTCTGGCGCAGCTTGTCTTTTGTTGGTAAATTTTTGGCTTGGCTCTTTTTTATGTTGGCAGTGATGTTGTTGTTGTTGTTTTTATGTTTTTGGTATGTCTTGGCTGTAAAACTTTTAGGCCAAGTTTGTTGGTGTTTTCAAGCGAAGCTTGTAATCAGTTGCTTTAATACGTTGCTTAAAAGCGGTGGTCCCTTGAGCGAAAATCTAAATCAAACAAAAAAATAGTTGTCGGAATTTTGCAAAGGATTTTATTTGAAACTTAAAAAAAGAATTTAAAAAGACTTTTAGCAAAAATGAAATTGAAATTTGTTTTAAATTTAACCTTCATACCCACCCTCTATGTGTTGTTTGTTCTGCTGGAGGGATTACTGGAAAATGGTGTAATGGCCCAAAGTAATGAGCCTTTGTTTGAAATACCCGTACAGCTGATTGGTTTTCCGGTTATTGTGGCATCCGTACGCCTCTCGCAGTTTGCCAAGAAGTTGGCGTACTCTTTGAATCCAAGTAAGTCAAGGAAATTGGGATGAAAAAAGTAAACTCAAAAAGCCTTAAAAAACAATAAAAATTATTAATGTTACGGAAATATTGTCCCGAGACTACATAAATTCTTTGACCCCTAGAATTGTTTAAAAAAAAAATTATTTTTAAATTTAAAACAAACAAAATAACAATTTATTTTATGGCAATGCTAATTAGGAAAAGAATCAAAGTGAAAGTTCAAAATTCGAAGCGGAAATTTTTTGTAATTTTGTAATCGCCCAGACAGACCGACAAGCAAAGGTTCCTTGACCAAAACAATAGAATTGCTTCTACGAAGAGAAGTGGAATATATAAGAATAAAAAATATATTAAATTAATTTACATTTTAATCAATGATTGGAATGTTTGCGCAATATTAAATACAATTCGTGTGAATTGGATTGAAAACAAAGTTGTTTGGGAGGCCATTGGCCGTTTTTTGTTGTTTCTGGAAGGAATTGACTCTAAATAAATAAAATAAAAAATGTTGTGAGTGTGACTTGAGAGGTCATAGCCATTCAAGTGTTGTGCTACATTAAGACCATAGGTGGAGAAGAACCTTTTCTAAAAACGAAAAACGTGCGATTAAATATATAAACATTTTGAAATATTTAATTGCGTAAAAATTATACATTAGACATAGTCATTTTACTGACCTCCTTTTACTAGCAGAATTTGAATTTGAATTTTAATACAACATTTCATGATTTACAAAAACGCCATCTACCGGTTGATAAAATTAACTCGAGGGTAGTAAAGAATCAAATCAATGCAGGTAAAATTGTAAAATTCATGGAGGGGAAAAAAGCCCCATTCTTACTTTAAAGTATCAAGAATAATGTATTTAGATCATTATTATATCAAGTGGCAAGGCAAGGCGTAATTTGGGTGATAAAAAGCGCCATCTAATGGATAATGACAATTATATTTATTACATTATTAAATCATTAATTACTTGTCGGTTGAGTTATTATTCACAGCAAAACTGTTTTAACTTAGAGCATAATTTTTGCGCCTAAAACTAGATTACGATTTAGAAACAATCTCAAAAGTAGATGGCACTCCAACATAAATATATCAGCCATTTATGCTAAAGAAAAACCAACTCTGAATTTGTTTGGAACGAGAAAATACGGATAAGTATTTAACATTCAAGAAAAAGAAGACAATTTTCTAGCGGTTTTATTTGGATCATCTTCAAATCAAATGTAGAGAAGGACATCATGTGGGTGATAAGAAGCGTCATCTAATAGATGCTGGCAATTTACATTATTACATTGTCAAATCGCGAATTATTAGTGAGTTGGCTTATTCCTAATAGAAAATCCATTAAATTTGAGATATTCTTTCTTTGAGAACTATTTTACCTTTAAAATTCGTTTATATTTATAATCTGAAAACTAGATGGCTCTTTTAATGCTACAGACATCAACTATAAATAAGTAACTGCTCAAACCAATACACATTAAAAACATAAGGAGAAAAAAAAAAATAATTTCGCCCGTAAGATTCGCTATCAAGTTCATTTATATCATCCCCAAATCAACTATAAAGAAGAACGCCAGTTGGGTGTTCAACAGTGCCATCTACTGGATGATGATAATCTAATTGATCACATTCTCTAATTTTTAGTCGTTTGGCTTCTTCTTAATAGGAAATCTATTTAAATTTAGAAAAAAAATATCTAAGAGAACACCTTAAATTCGATTACGATTCAATAATAATTTCAAAAATAGCTGGCATTCCCAAATTTATCCCTTGACTCAAACCGATTCGAAAAGATTCTATATCACCCAAGGAGAAGAAAAAACAAATTTTCTCTTCCTAAAGGTTTTCAAGAATATTTATTCAGATCATCCACAATTGAACTGTAAAGAAGAGCATCATTTGGATGTTCAGCAGTGCCATCTACTGGATGATGATAATCTAATTTATCACATTCTCAAATCATTAATTATTAGTCATTTGGCTTTTTCTTTAAAAGGAAAACTATTTAAACTAAGAAAAAATGTCTAAGAGAATTCCTGAAATTCGATTACTATTCAGTAATAATCTCAAGACTAGATGGCATCCCAAATCAATATATCACTCAATCAGATGCTGGAGATAAATAACATAAACCAATTTGGGTAGATTATATATCACCCAAGGAGAAGGAAGATCAACTTTTCTTCCTAAAGGTTTTCAAGAATATTTATTCAGATCATCCACAATAGAACAGTAAAGAAGAGCATCATTTGGATGTTCAGCAGTACCATCTACTGGATGATGATAATCTAATTTATCACATTCTTAAATCGTTAATTATTAGTCAGTTGGCTTTTTCTTTAAAGGAAAACTATTTAGACTTAGAAAAACTCTGTATAGAGGTATTTTGCCCCTAAAACTAGTTTACGAATCAGATATAATCTCAAAAGTAGACGGCACTACAAAACAAATATATATCAGCCAATGAAGCTACTCTAAATTGGCTACGGCTCAAACCAATTCGGAAAATTTATATATCATCAGGAGAAGGAAGAACCACTTTTCATCCTAAAGGTTTTCAAGAATATTTATTCAGATAATCCTCAATTCAACTGTAAACAAGTAAAACCAGTAAAGAAAGTCCTAAAGCCGGACGGGACCGACTTTATGATACCCTACACCACTTTGCTAATTTAGTAGAGCTCGGCATAACAATTAAAAGTTTTTATGGGAGAATTCAATGATACAAGCTAGGATTATAATTATAATTTAAAGTTCAAAGGACTAAATATGCCGAAGCATTTGTATCTTTTAAATTCGGAATTGTATTGCCCCTTTTGGTGCACAATTAATTTGAAATCGGATAAAGATATATATGTGAGCTATATCCAAATCTGAACCGATCTCGATAAAATTTGGCAAAGATATTTCTGAGCTGTATTTGATATATTTCCCTGAATATCTTTGTTACGGAGTGCATATTAAGGTTGTGGGTAACAAATATAACAAATCGGATGAATAATATATATGGAAGCTATAGCTATATCTGAACCGATCTTCACCAAATTTGATATACTAGCTTCTAGACTCAATTCGATCGTAAGTGCCAAATTCCATCCCATTTGGGCCAATATTAGACGTTTGGTGCACAATAAAAGGTAAATCGGACGAAGTTATATATGGGAGCTATATCCAAATCTGAACCGATCTCGATAAAATTTAGCAAATGTATTTCTGAGCTGTATTTGATATATTTCCCCAAATATTGTTGTTGCATAGTGCATATTACGGCGGCGGTGGACAAAAATAACAAATCGGGTGAACAATATATATGGGAGCTATAGCTATATCTGAACCGATTTCGAATCAAATTTGGCATACTTATTTTGAGGCCTAATTTGGTTGTATGTGCAAAATTCCATGCATTTCGGGCTAATATTAAACGTTTGATGCAATAAAAGGCAAATCGGACGAAGGTATATATGGGAGCTATATCTAAATTTTTACCGATTATCTCCAATTTCAATAGGGCTCGTCCTTGGTCCAAACAAATGTTGTTTGGAAAATTTCATCTCAATCGGATAATAAATGCGACCTGCATTTTTTTCACAAGAATACTTGGCGGACGGACGGACAGACGTACTGACATGCATAAATCAACTCAGAAAGTGATTCTATGGAGATCCTCAAAAGTAACTATGGGTCTATCTCGCTTCCTTCTCCATGTTACAAACAAATGCATAAAGACATAATACCCTTACCACTATGTGGTGTAGGGTATAAAAAGCATTGAGTTCGGCCGAGCTGAACTTTTAATACCCTCCACCTTAGGGTAATGGAAACACTAGAACCAATTATAACCCACAAATACCAATTTTTAGATATATTCGTGGGAAAATGTGGCAAAAATCATCAAAATACCGAATATTGGGAGGTACCGCTAAATAGGGCTATACAAAAACGCGGACCTATACATACAATATTTCGCCAACGGAGCTAGAACTCATTATGACCAACAAATTCCAATTTTTAGACAAATCCGTGATAAAATGTGACAAAAATCATCAAAATTCCGAATATCGGAAGATACATTTATATGGGGGCTATATCAAAGCGTGGACCTATACATACAATGTTTCGGCGCACGAACTGGGACCCATTATGACCTACAAGTACCAATTTTCAGAAATATTCGTGGGAAAATGTGGCAAAAATCATCAAAATACCGGATATCGGAAGATACCGTTATATGGAGACTATACCAAAACGTGGACCGATGTGTCTCATTTTCAATACCAACCATCCTAGACACAATACAAATTATTCTGCTATTATTGACGCTCTACGTCAAATAATGTGGGCTGTATTGTGATTTCAACAGACAGACGGACATCGTCTTAGAATTTTATGCTGATTATGAATATACATACATTATGGGGTCTACGAAAAATATTTAGGGATGTTACAAACGGTATGACAAAGTTAATATACCCTCCTTTCCAAGTTGGAGGGTATAATAATAATTCGTGCCCTATGTGTTGACAGTAATAATAAATACAGACTCAAACTATTAAAACTGTAGCATTGCTCCCTTTAGTCTTTTTTAATGGCAGAAAAGCTACATGTGAATTTAGGTCGTGCGAAATCGGGGTTTCTACAAAACTGCCATATTTACCAAATTTATTTATTTTGAGATAGGTTATTTGGCTCAAATGGCTCTCTTACTTTCACAGGGGATAAATTCATGTTTTTTTTGTTTAACTGTCTTTAACTGGATTGAACAATGAACTCTCTCTTCCTATGACTATTTTAAAACAAGATTTTTTATATTATTATTTTTTGATTAAAAAAAATAAATAAATAACCCCTTAACACTCCCCTCGCTCATGAGTTCCCAAACGTTGCAAAAAAACGTTATTTTATTAAATTACAACCTTTCCCACCATATTTACAATTGCCCTCAAAACACATATTTTATTCATCCAAAAAAGGAAAACTTAACCCTTCCATATTGGGAATTCCCCAGTACTTGACATTTGTAACGCTAACCCAATTAAACAGTACTTCGATATGCCCTCAGCAAAACCTAAAAAAAACCGCTTGTAAATCAAATTAAAAGCCCTTTTTCATTGAATTTACCATGAATTTAGTTCAGCAACTGACAGGTGAATTGGCTGACTGGGTTAACTGCCGTTGTGATCGCTTCTGTTTTTCGCTCTCTTGGCCATATGGCTGTTAGTGGTTGTGGTGGCGCGGATGACAAAAGGTCTTTCTTAAACTTGAGTCAAGGCACGTACATGACATGTGGCTCATATGCATATAAGTACTGGAATCCAGTAGCTCCCCATTGTTGGTGTACGAAGAAGAAAAAACGTGGTTTGTGTTTGATTTGAAGCTATCATTCATTCATTTAGCCATCCATGCGACCATCCATGTTAACAAACGCACGTATGTGTGTATGTGTTATCGAACCAATATACCAACCATTCGGGGGCTTGCTAAAGAAACCTGTCCAAAGATATAAAGAAAATGGGTCAAGGCCATATGAAATACAAATCCAACAAGAGATGGTATTGGGGAAATACCAAAAAAAAAGCGATATGAAGAAAATAAACAAACCACAAAAAATGGTATGGTTTATGGCTGGAAGCATATTTTAGGGTATGATACGTCCGATGACACAATGAAGCGTGAGATATTTTTGTAATACCAAACAAATTTTACGCCGGACTTAATAAAACTAATAATGCTAATCACAAATTGTTAATTTTTTATTTGTTTATTTTTCCAGATACTTACCGGGCCCGCAGCAAACGTGACACCGCCCATTTGGCTTACGATGCAGAATATGCCCAAAAGGAAATCCAAAGGGAGTTTGGTCAACGTGCCTGCATTTTGGAAGAACCTTGTCGTCTGCATGCCTCACGTCCAGGACGTGCCAGCCAAACACATCCCAACTGGTCGGAAGTCTTCAGGTATGTCTCCCTCTCTCTCTTTCTTTTTCTCTTCCTCCCAAATGGCATGACTGAGTTTCTGGTCCACTGACGTTTGAAGTGGTATCCAAAATGTCAATGAGCAAAACAGCAAATGTTGTTACGGGTGGTTTGGCTGATCTGCTGCAACCTAATGATGAGACAGCGTTTACATGTGTAATGAGTCGATTTTATGGTGTACTTTCGTTTCTGGGGTATTGACGTTGCCTTGCGGAGCAACGTCATCTTAACATTGATTACTTGGAGTTTTTGTGAATTTATTGTAGCTAAAGATGTCATTGTCAAATGCATTCATTTGTTATTGGATTCCTAGGATGTTGTTGTTGTCATTGCAATTGCTTTGCTGTTGGCTAAATGACTCCACCGTAGCCAGCACACGATGTAGCTGCAGTTACATCGTCGAAATGTTTTCCAATCAATTTTTATTTGAAAAATGCCAACTCATTTGTGCATAATTTAATGTCTTTTTTCACTTGTCTTGAAGTTAAGTAAACGATTGCTGTTGTTGTTGTGAAGAAAAAAATCATTGGAGGAAACTTTATCATTGAAGTTGTATTCTTCAAAATGAGTTGTCAACAAGGAGTGTGTTTTTTGAGGAGGATTTGAAGCACCGTTTCTCTTTACAAAATAAAATTAATTCAAACAGGAGATGTATTTAAGGGTGAAAGGTTGCCAGATTGCGATTTGAAAACTTAGAAAAAAAGGACAATTTCTTGTTGATTATAAAACAGCTTCCTCTTAGTTTTTTTATAACCCCCACCATAGTATGGAGGGTATATTAAGTTTGTTACTCCGTTTGTAATACCTCGAAATAAACATTTTAGACCCCACAAAGTAAATATATTCTTGATCAGCATAAAATTCTATGTCGATTTAGAAATGTCCGTCCTTCTGTCCGTCTATCCGTCTGTGGCAATCACTCTAACTTCCGAACGAAATGAAGTAGATTGATAAAATTTTACTCAAATGTATATTATTTCTGCAAGACTTTTGGTATTGAAAATAGGCCATATAGGTCCACTTTTTGGTATAGCCCCCATATAACGGTACCTCCTGAATTTCGGTATTTTGATGATTTCAGCGACATTTTTTATCGGAATTGTTTCAAATTTGCATTTGAAATTCGAAATGGATGCTACAGCCTAAGACAGAAAATTATCTGTGCAGGTCCACGTCTTAGTAAGACCCCCATATAACTGTACCTCCTGATATTCGGTACTTTGTTGATTTTAGCTACATTATTTACCGGAATTGTTTTAAAATTGGGTATTTGAAGTTCGTAATGGATACTACATCCTATGACAGAAAGTTGTCTGTGCAGGTCCACGTCTTCGTATAGCCCCCATATAACGGTACCTCCGATATTCGGTATTTTGATGATTTTAGCTACATTATTCACCAATTATTTTTAAATTTCGCATTTGAATATTGTAATGGCTTATGACAAAAGTGACCTATACAGGTTCATGTCGTCGTAAAGACCCTAATGCAGCAGCTACATTTGGTATTTTTAAGATTTTAACAGAATTTTTAACGGATTTTATTGTTTTTCAAAATTGCCAAAATCGTTCCAAATGGTGGAGGGGATTCAAAGTTCGGCCAGGCCGAACTTATAGCTTTTTTACTTGTTTTTTTTTTTTTTTTTTTGCTTGAATGTTGGCAATCCCTTTTTCGCCAATTTTCTTCACAGCTTTCCCAACATTTTCTTTAGCAAGAAAATTGAATCCCTATATCAATGAGACTTTTCCTTGTTCATGATTAACGTTTATTGTTAATTTACGCAGCAAAACAAAGTAAACTTTTTCTTTTCTTTTTTTTCTCTCCCACTTTGTCAGAGAACATTTAATTTTATCGAAAAAACAGCAACAACAAAAGACCGTTATTTTTATATTTCATAATTTTATATTCGCGAAATGACAATATACATAAATTAAAGCGTTGGAAATCAATAAAAAAGTTATTGTTGCTGCTGTTGAGTTTTTACAAAAAAAAAGAGAAGCAGCTATAAATTCCTGTGTAATGTTTATGCCATGGCACTGACCTTACTCAAGCTAATACTTGGTGGGATAGATCTTTGCTATGAATAGGAAAACAAAGGAATTGTAATGGAATTTTAGATACAGAAGGCAAAGAAATAACAACAATAAGAAGAGGAGCTGCTAAAGAATATTTTCCATGAAATTTCAAAGAAGTTGAGAGATTTTTTCAACGAGTTTCAAAAAAAAAAAAAAAAAAAAAAATATCAATGGAAAGATGTGAATGTGAATTTCAAAACAATCATGAATATCCGGGGGAAATTCAATTCCCTTGGAAGCATTTTTCTCAAAAGATTATATGTTTAATCATTAATAAACGAGGAGAAATAATTTGCAAACATGGCAACACTTATAGGTATTTTGCTGATACCTTGTGTATCCTATTTGTTGTTTAAAATGGTCTAAATTTTAAGTTCTGTTTATACCCTCGGCCATATGGCTAGAGAGGGTATATAACATTTGATACGGCCAAAACGTGTCTCATCGAAATAAGAGTTTTAGCCCTCAGGTCTCTTTGGACCAAATCCGTTTCAGGACATTTAGAGTCGATCTAGTGATGTCCGTTCGTCCGTCTGGTTGGCTGGCAGGTGCGCATGATAACTCTCGAAGAGACTATCCTATTTAATCCAAACTTCGTATATCGTAATATTATTACCAAGTTCGGAGATGGGCAATATCGGTTCACTCCTTCTTTCACAAAAAATGTCAAAATTTCCAAAAAAAAAAAAAAATGCTCCGATTTTGCTCCAACTTTGCAAATCCTAATATTTCCATCAGTGCTTACTCTGTAGTGGACAATATCGATCCACTCCATCAAGTACCTCCCCCATAAAGGGTCAAAATTTTCAATAATTCTATATCTTCTAACATTTGATATAAGAGTCCGATTGACTTCAAATTTCACACATCACAATATTTTCCTTAACCCAAGATCTGGTGTGAAGATGGGATATATCAGCTCACTCCTTCACCACAAAGGGTCAACATTTTGAAAGGGAAATTAATATCCGACTTCCTTCAGACTTGGTACATTTCAATATTTCTATGATCACAAGAAATGTTATAAATAGATCATTTATTCTGGACCAAGACCATTTATTCTGCTACCTCTCCCTATAAAGGGTTGGAGATTTTAAAAGGCAAAACGTTCACATATTTCATATAAAGTGTAGGAAGTAACCAACATAGTCCAAACCTGGCGCTTCGTAATATTTATATCATGTTTATTTAGGACCTATACAACATGGATAATATTGGCCCATTCCTTCGGAACCTACTACATACAGGGTCAACAATTTCAAAAACCATAACAGAAATCACACCAATCGAACATTGGCTGAGGATATACATCTGGCGGCAAAACCGACTGATACTTTTTAACTTGTTTTTATTAATAACAAGCAATTTGAATAAACATTTTTTTATCAATATTAGGGTTCGAATGTATGTGTGAAGGACACTTTTTCAAACCAATTATTGGAATATAATGGGAAAAAAATTTTATTAAAATAATATTGCTCCTAAAATCGATAGATTTCTCGAAACTGAATCTTTTAAAATAATCGGGATATTTGAGAGGTAATATAGGTTTATAGTTGCATTCCAATAATATCTTTTTTTTTTTGAAACAATTCGGAAAACCATAGCCAATTTTTCATATTTTTGGACGCCATATGAATTTAACTATAAATTAAATATTGTCACCTTTATAAAATATTAGCATATAAATTTGTAACTATTTTCCAACAAAGTCCCCAATTCCATTACAATACCCTTGTACTTTACAATGAATTCTATTAAAAAGTTTTATTGAATAATTCTTTCACTCCTTTCTTCTTATTGTGATTTTTAATAATATTTGTTTATGATTAAATTTTCGAAAAATTTCCCATGCCCTCAATGAAATACAAAAATAATTACTTTATTGTTGTTGCTGACCGACACGACCACAAGTTTCATATTTTCTGGACATTTGTCATTACAAAAGACGAAATGGACCAACCAAGTGACCCTTTTGTGGAATTATTTTTTGTATATTTCAATTTTTTGTTTTATTTTTGGAATTATTATTATACATTGAAAACCCCTTGCACTCCCCTGATAAAATTCCACAATTTTAAATATTTTCCTATGCAATAGTCTAGGCTATGTGTGTATGCTGCACTTGACATATGTAAACTTTGGTGAACTCCATTGTCATAAGTGAATGAGCAAACGAATGGATGAATGGAGAGAAGGCAAAAGTTTTGCCCAAACAATTCGAGCCAAAGTTGAGACCCTGAATAAGGGGGGCAAGAGAGGGGGCTTATGAAATAGCATTTCATAGTAAAGGTAAAAATTACTAGATGTATGCAAATGTCGTCAGCATCAGCATCACCTTCGTCAGTACTTTAATAAACTCTCCCCTCTGCCTTCCTGTAGACCCTCCTAATTCTCTTTCTTTTTTTAATTTTTGTTATGAATTTTGTGACAGTCGTCGTTATGTTCACATTATTAGAAACTTTTGTTCGAGTGGTGTTGTTATTGTTGCTGTTGTTGTTTACTTATTTGTTTTGCTATTCATTAGGAGAGCTTATTTTAACAATGTGTTGATAATGTAATTTTTTACACTTCGAAGACATCTTTCTCACACACAGCCAGATATTCAAACCGATGCAGGTGTGTAAAGGAAATATTTTTTGTTTATTTAAAAAATTTGAAACAATAAACAATTCAAGTTTTCTTCGGTTTCCATAAACCAGATCGGTTTACAGGGAACCGGGTTTTCATAAAATAGTATTGTTTTCTCTTAAACGTAAGATGGAACTTATTATGCCCTCTATCATGAAATAAATGGATGGCCTTCTATGGGTCCTATACCAAAATTTGGAAAAATACTGATGTTAAAAATCCATTAAGAATTTGAAAGCTTGTTTGACCTGCGGAACTTATTTCGCATTTTCTTAG